GTGCACTTACTTCTGGTTACTTGTGGAAGTGTTCGGGTGGGTCATTTAGACTGGACAGTGCTTATCACTGGTACTGGTATCAACCCCATGACCTACGGAAGCCAGCTGACCCATTCAGTTTACCAGAGAGACAGCCAAATCAGGAACATTGTGCTTAGAGATTTTGGGGATCCATTGGATAACTGAACTTTCAGACCTTTCATTGAGAACCAGGGGCTCCGGGATCCAAATCTGCTACCACCAGTTCTCCCATTGCCTTGTATCATTCATGTCCTTCTCAGTTGTCAGCTGCCATCAGGTGACAACAGGGCAGAACAACATACTTACAACAGCAATGCCACAATAGCAGCTTCTGCTATTAAAAATAGCAACAAGGACCTCTTGCATCTCACATCTCCCCACCCAACACAAAGAGTATACCCACAGCTTCTCTCAAACCTCTCACAGTTAAGAGAGAAGCAGAATGTTACAAAGCTGTTATATTCTTTTGCAGGGGAAAGGATATGGGAACACCTGACCCCCCTAACAGAAGGGCAAAACAATGCTATTTTGGAGAAACACCAAAAAAGCATTGCCTTATGACTACCATATTTTATTTATAAAATATTTTCTTTCACAGAGAGTGAACAATTTCTATCCCATGATGTATAAGTAAAAAATACAGCAAATAATATACTTTTTTTTCCTGGAATCTGCCAAGTTCTTCTGATTACCTCCTAATTTGGTGAATGAAATGTGTAGGTTTCAAAGCATCTCACTCTGTCTCTTTGCAGAGACTATCAGCAGAGCAAATAAATTACTAGTGTTCTAACTCTCATTCCCTCAAATTAGCCTCAGCATAAAAAAGGAGCAGAGCCAAGCTTTCTGTAAGTCTTCACACAGCACCGTAAAGGATATGGAAGAGGGTTGGCAGGTTTCTTTCTGCTGTCTGCCCACAACAAAGCTTTCCTAGCGGACTATTGATAGCTCCTCTGACAGCAACTTTCAGCATCCACACCCACACTACTTCTAATCCACAAACAATGAATCAAAGTTGCCTTGTTTGGACCTGTCCCCAAGGACTGCAGTGACTGCATGACTGAACTGATGAGGCGGGTGGGGAGCAGAAGGATGACTGCGCCAAGTATCACCACAAGAAATAAGAAACACAACTATTTAAATCTAAGCTAAAGCAATATATTGCTTATATGCATGTCTGAAAAAAGGTTAGGATTAAAAAAAAAAAAAAAAAAAAAAAAACCTCAGCAATTTCAAAAGGAAAACATTCCAGCCAAAGAGGAAAGCGAGTTACAAAATTAAAGTATCCTGCTTGCTCGTTTGTTCGAATGGTCACCCTGTGCATTTCTATACTGCAGGCCTGGGTGCAAAAACAGAGAAGGATAAGTTCATTTTTGGATGGAAGTAACTGTGCTGCTGATATCAGTGCACCTCTTCCTCTAATCACATGCAACAGCATTAGACAAAGAAGTTCAAACAAAAACCACCCAAACAGAAGTATGATTTATGAAGTGTTCGAGTAAATACCGCATCACTAATACCAAAGACTTAAAAGGGGGAAAAACAGCAGCATGAAACTGTAGTTCTAAGGATGACCATATGCAGGAACAGGCATTAGCCCAAACAAAACAAGACTGCCCACAGCTGCACTGTATTTAATAGAATCTTACAAACTTGCAAATCCAGCTCTGGCACTTGTGAAAATCGTCATATTTCTGCTGTGGGCAAAGTTACTTAAATAATATTTTCAATTAAAAGTAAATAGAATCTCTTCAGATCAAGGCATCCCAGGCACTGTAGAGGAAATACTTAACTGAACCTCTATTAAACTCTTATTCACATGATAAAGCTCTCTCATTAATACTTGCGGTATCTAATTGTTGGCCCTTAGAAGTGTCTTTTGACTTCCATGAAAGAAAATAAGGGGATAGGACTGTAAAATGAAACAAACACCACCACCCTCACTCTAAAAAAACTGCCCTCTCTTCCCATCAAAATCTAATTCCTTTCACTACAGGAAAAGTCAGACTTCTGCTACAGTACTGTGTGTGTCACAGTACTGTAGCAGAAATCAAACTCTATAACCACAAAGCAGTTATAACACAGGTGTGGTTAAATCAGCACTGTGCACACATGCTGGGTGCAAACCAAGTAGCCCTTCCTAGCTTGCACACCATGAGGTAGAGGTTAAGAAATATTTATAAAGACAAGTCGTATATATGCCACAAATAGGAGGTATATTACAATTACATCCGAGCGATTATTATTATATTCTCCATCACTAGCCCTTTCCACATGAGTACTGAATTGTGATGGTGGTCTTCTGGGGTCATAAGATGAAAGCTCTATGTCTTCCACTTGTCCTTTTTCACCTTTGATCTGGGTTAAGCCTAAACCAAAAGGATACAGTCAGCAACTATCTGTTACATTCTTTTCAAGAATGGTGTATCCTGGCTGGATGCAGTCCTCTAAGTCTTATCTGCCCTGGCTCATCTTGCCTCCCCTTATCTTCCTTAAACAATTCAGCAAGGTTTGAGCAATACTTCCCCTTTACAAAATTTTTAAAGAAATATTTGCCACATCAGCAGTTAAGAGAACTAACTAGTGCTTTGCTTTGACTACACTAACACTATTGAAGGCAAGTGTGTTCCTAACACTGCAAAAAGTGTACATGCGTTTGTAAAAGAAAGCTTTGTGCACAAAAACCATACAAGTAAACACTGACACATTAAAAAAAAAAAAAAAAACACGCTATTTTTCACAAGTCCAAATTAGCTCCCATTGCTGTAAGAAACCTGAAGTCTGAAACGCAGCTGAGAGCTTAAAATAAGGAATTTATTGTTGTTAAGACTTCAAATGTGCTTTTAGCACCCTCACCATACAAAAGAACAACAAACTAAAACAGACCAAAAGGACAAAGTTAATTCAGTGCAAAAAAAATCTTCCATCTCATTAAGTATCTCACACAGTACTATGTGTAGCAACAAGATGTGTAAGACACAAGATAGAGAAAAAGGTTTTTCACTGACGCCTAGAACAAAACAGCTCCCAACACAACAGTGCAAAGTTGCATTTCTGAATGGTCCATCTAACATAAACAGAAGGCCAGACATAACAAGTTACCAACCACCTATTTAACCATTTTTGGAACATGCCTGTAAATTTAAACTGTGTGAAAAGTCTAACTACTACTTTCATTTCATCAAAAGGCCTCTTCAACAACGGACCATACAGCCACTGGTTTGACCTAAAGGGGCTGGTAGGTCAATCTATTCTGACCTTATCTCTATTCTGTCACAATACTAAAAGATTACTTGAATAACTCACCAACGTTTAACAATGCCAACAGACACCTTTGCAACAGGGACCCTTTTACTACAGCATTCCTCCAGAGAGCTCTCTAACCAAATTTTTAATTCATGGGAGTTACCAAAACATTTAGAAAAACTGATTGTAAAATAAACCAAAGGTTTATTTTATTTATCTTTGCTCAAAGGTACAGAACAGAAAAAAGTAAGCAACCAAAAGCAGATTTTTTTCACCTTGCATTTACATATCTCTAATGGCATCCAGCGACAATTACTGTGAACTTTAGATAATATGCATAATGCTATAATCAGATGATAACAGCAGGGTTACAAAATCTTTGTCTATAGCAAGTGAGAATGAGCCTAAATGCAGCAGCCACAGATACAGAAATGAAAGAAAAGAGCTGCTTATCTTTGGAAGACCTCAGGTAGGCACAGATCTCCAGCAAAAGATACCCTTATCTCCACTGCCAACTCTTAAATGATGACTGGGAAGTGGTGCATCCTGGCTCCACCCCTTCTGGTCACTTGGTACATTGCATGCACCTGAGCTCCCCTGGGTTGGCCCTGCCTTCTCACCAGGTAACCCATAGGTTCAGGCCATGACTTACCATTGCCACTACAATATCTTTTATTCACTAACAATCACTTCTTTTTTAAATAATATTTTACAAATGGAAGAAACTGAGCAAAAAAAAAAAAAAAAAAAAAAAAAAATCTACTATTTGATTAAAAAAAAAGTCTTGTAACAACAAGCTTAATCATATAGACTTCGAAATTTTGTATTTTAATAATTACTGCCTTGTTTTCAAAAACCCATTCCATAAGGTGTTCAGCACTAAATATAGCATATATTTAGTAAGATAAAATTAAGCACCTTAGTCCCATGGGTGTCAGCAAGCTGGATTCATCACTCAACAACTGACTTAATCAATCCCACATTTAACATTTACAGTCTATGCTTAAATGCCTTTGTAGAGAAAGTCCAGTGTGCAACAGTTTATAATGAACAATCCTACACAATCACACAATCACTTCCCTCCCTTTAATTGAACAATAATGGTTTGAAGAAAATACATAAAGCTGTATGAACAGGCTGGAGCAAACATCTTCGAAAACATCATGAGTTATGAGAACAGACTTTCACTACAGAATCCTTCATGTGCTCAGATTCAACAGTGCAGTCATAATTCCAGAAAGGAGGACCCTACATGTAACCTGTTAAGTAGTGAAACATTTTAAAAAGCAATGAAAACTGTATTTTCATTTGACACATCAGACAGAGCACTCATTCTTCAGCTTCAAAAAGTAAATTTCAATTGAACTTTCTACATCTCTAAATGGTTTGACCACATAAGAGTATCAAAAAGCATAAACAACTACAAGGCACGTAAATGATATTTGAAAATGCCTTGAAAAATCCACATAAATCCTTTTTTAAAATGATTTCAGGAATAAAGGCCATTCTATTCCTATATAGGTTTAGGCAGGTACTTAAATTTAACAGTCAAGACTACACACCCTTACCTTTTCCAAAGGGCAAGGCCATTAAAGTGCAGGGAAGTAAATAAGAAGCCAGTGACTACTGTATGCAGTACAACAAAAATGAAGAACAAAACCAGCTTTTCTTTCATCTGTACAGAATAATTTTACATGCTGGTCATCACAGAGCTGGAGTACTTCAACAGTTCCTACCTTGAAAAGCTGTGGTATGGCCAACAATCATGTACTTCAGTTCAAAATTCAGTGCCTGGATACTCTGCATCCTTTCTCTTCGAACAGCTGCCTGGTAGCTCTCTTCCATTTTTTTGGTGCAGCATGTTGGTGCTCTATTTTGACAGATCTGTAAATCTGACTCTATTAAAAGAAAGGGAACAAATGCCATTAAAATAATGCTTCCTAACATGAAAGCAACAACCAAGTAAAAAAATTTAGTGCAAAACATATTAGGCACAAAATCACCTAAATACAAGGGAACAACAGAATCACTGAAGATGAGCATTTGAAGGGGCAACACATCCACTGCACAACTCATGCTAAAGGCATCAGACTTTTTAACATCTGAGTGAAAACCATGTTTAAATTAGAATCCAATATGCACTGTGCAGCACTTCAAGGAATTTCCTATTGGCCTCCTACACTAGTGAAAGGCTCTCAACATCTGTAATCTTCTAAGCAGCTAAAAATAAATAAACGCATCGACGCTTTCCCAAAGGTATGGTAACTTGGTGGCACTTTTTTTTTTCCATTTCTCTCTAGTTCTGACATGCTTAACTCCTTTCTGAATCAGATTTCCAAAAAACAACAGAAACAGAAAAGCAAGCACCAATAGTTGCCACACAAAAAAAAATAATAATAAAAAAATTCTGTGGCAGCCTGTGTTTACCTATATAGGGCCAAAGATAAGAAATTATGATGCTACATTTATATATAAGTGCTATGTTACACCAGTAGGAAGTACTACAACTTCTGAGCTTGAGCAGTACTGAACATCAACAGATATTTTACATAGAATAAAAGAAAAGCCTGGTTATAAGCTTAGCCACACACAGGCAGATCTCTGCCTGTCTAACAGTAACCTTAGTATTTCTGAAAGCAAGTAATGGCTCACCTATATTTAACAAAAGCACTGAAGTCATTCCTACCTTGAAACTAAAGAAAATTTGAAAATCTGTTAAAAATTTCTTAATTTTTGTGAACTATTTTTGATTCTACTTTCTCTTCATCTTCTTGTTTTTGGATGTATGCATGTCAGTAAGGTTTGTATCCTTGATAAGGAAATCTGCATTACAGTGTTGCAGTAGACATTTGAGCTCTGTTTGCTATGCAGTATGACATTCATGGAAGCAATAAGTTCTGGAAGGGAGCTGTTACAGACAGAAATACTCCTTTGCTTCATGTAACACATGTTTTAAGTAGGGAGAACAACCAAAAAAAAAGCAAACAAACAAACAAAAAAAATCCACAAGTATCTATTAAGTAGTAAGAGCAAATCTAAAAACAGATGTGCAAAAAAATCCAAGCAACCAAAAAAACCCAAGACAAAACAAAAAAAACCTACAAACGAAACAGCTATAATATATACATATATTAGAAAGGAACCACTACCAATGCAATCATCAGCAAACCGAGATAAGAATTTCCCAATGAGATGCTGCAACAGCACATGTCTGGAGCTGCCTGCCTTTCACCTCACAGCAAAGATGGTGGGGGGCTGCTGGGCTGCGTGGGCCCAGGCCACAGCTGCCTGTACCTCCTTTCTCCTGTCCCTCCACAGCTTTGGGGCAGGAACTGTACCTTACCTGGGGCAGAGGCTGCAGGAGGTTTGGTCTCACCACACAACAAACTCCTCACAGAGGTGAGAATGGATGCTTGGATACCTGACAGAGCACAACATCAGCATGGGCCATCTCACCATGCAGTTGCTCCAGCAGGGCCCCAGCCCATCAGCAATGAGGGGATCTCTGCTGTGATATCACTGCTGATGGCCTCACTGCAAACAACAGAACTGTGACCAGTGGGCACGACTGTCCACGACTATGCCTTCCTTTCAAGGATTTCACTCAGGACACAAACATTAATGAGCCATCATCACCATCTGGCCATGCAGATTAAGGCATGGTAAGATGGCATATACAGCTGAAATAATGAAGAAATTGGTAACAGGATACACCAGACCTTCTGAAAATCTTGAGCGCATCATCCAAACAAGATGTGCCCAGGGTCAATGTCAGGCCAACAGCTCACTGAGAATGAAATCACAGGGAGGAGCTTTAACAAATCTGCCTTGCCAAAAAGCTTAACTGCTGAAAACATCATGTTCGATCTTGAAAACGTTCCTTCCAGCTTTTAACAACTCTCCTGAAAGCAGAGCTAGTTTATGTAAAAAAGTCAAAATCAAAAGTGAAATATTTCAATAAACCTACATTTTGATTCCAGTTCATGAAACAAAAAATGGTTGTGACAGACTGCATATCATTCAAGATACTGTTCTGGAGGTAGACTTGCATCAGTTTAGGAAGTAATTTCAGGAATAGGAATGATGACTCTGCCCACACAAGCCAAGTTGCTGCAAAGATGTGACTACATTGTGCAGGCAGCTGGAAGAGCAGCAGGAGAGCTGAACAATAACCATCAACTGAGCATGCTCTCCTGCTCTTGTGTGCTAGAGAAGTTGGTTAGGGTTGAAATTAGCTTCTTGACAAGGCTAGTTTTAACTCCTGCTTGCCCTATGAGCATATGTTTGTTCTGTCACATGGAACCAGAGGTCAGAAAAGGATCGCTTCTGAGCTAGCAGCATGGAGTGTATGTGACATTATAGTGCAGACTGCTGAGCCATTAAAACAGTTTTAAAGAGTAGGTCCAAGAGCAGAGGGCTTGCATTACTCAGCCTCTGCAATGCCAGGCTGCTATGCTGAACACATCCCCTTGCAGAAGTCCTCTGAGGTCTTCTTTGAAAGACCTTTACCAAGCTCAGACCTGTATGAGAATAGTTTGAAGCATGGTGCCCCTTGCTGCCTGCAGGACCTGCACAAGGAAGCCACTCAGCTGTCAGTTCTGCATCCACTGATACTCTTTGCATTAAGGCATCACACATCTCTTCCAGAAAACCATGAGTACAGAGATTTTAGCTGAAACCACACTCCTGCGACTCCCCATCCCTCTATGTCTTCAGATGAACACTCCAGGAGCCAGAAGATTAGTTTATTATGCTGGTCCAGAGCAAAAGCAATATAGAGGGCACTCTCAAATAGAGACAGCACTAAGCCCCTAACAGTGCTAGACCTTTAAAAGACCAGCAAAGAGTAAGTCCCACTCCCCTCACAGTACTATCAGGCTGGGACTGTATTGCACGGAAACTGTCAGTTTCTCTTGCTTCAAAATTAGCCTGGGGCTATAACTTCTAACACAATTATAGAAACCTAATAGAAGTTTTCAGTACTACAACAACCTGGGTGCTGAGATTCAATTAGAACCGACCATTTCTATCTTTAAGTCTTTAATAACACTGTCACTAAAATGAATTCATCTTATCTCTCATCTTAATGCAAAATATACTCTCCAATAGAAAGAAAAGTGGTGAAGAACACTGAGATCCAATGGTGATGGAGGGGTGTATTTCACAAGCACTGCTGATCATCAACAGAGAGAAAACCTTAATGGGAAACTCCTTCAAGGTTAGAAACAAAGCTATTCTGTACTCCAAAGAGAAGAGAGAAAGCAACATTCATGAATATGAAATTGGGTAGAAAACTTAATAGCATGATTTCCAATCTGATTCTGCTAATAGCTATCTAGGATTTTCATAACTGTTTCCCCCCAGGCTGCTCACTATTTTATGTCACTGTAAAATAATTCAGTTTGGAAGGAATCTCTGCAGGTCATCTAGTTCAGCCCTTAAAGTCATTATGATACAAAGAATCACAAGCCTTTCCCCTGCAGCTTGAGTTGGACTTTCCACTCACCTCTTTGTTCAGGACACCTTCAGTCACAGTAGGAACAACTTACAAGCTGTAGCACAAGCCAATTTGCCACATCAAATCCCTGGTTTAGAGGAACAGAGCAGGAGCAATCCCATTCTTCCTCACTGAAAGCACAAAAGGCATCTTCCACCTGCACTTGACCTATTGTGCAAGTATCTCTACTCATCTGTGTTTCTACTCTGTGATATCTGGAAGAATGGAGCAATGACCAAAAAACAGGATGAAGTATTTTGTTGAAATTTAGAAGTCATATTCAGAACAAGAAAAATTATGCTACACTGGAGCCTAAACCATAAGCATCTTAGAAAGCAACAACATTCCCCACTCAAAGTTCCTGAAATCCCAAAGCACTTAATATGAGCCAGAGGCATCACCACCTTGTCACAAGAGCAAATCATTTAAGTGCCAAATGCAACTACTGATCCCTAACTGGTGTCAATAGAGCCACCCCTACTGAAGTCAGCTGCAGAGGTTACTGTGGTGTTTGGTTACTTTTTTTTGTTTGTTTGTTTTAAATCAGCAGAGTTTCTGGGCTCCACTCTGAATTTTGTAAAAGTCAAAGAGACTTTGGCCTTTAAAGCTATTTGAGTTAGTATACATGTTAGTTCTCAAAAGCAAAGAGAGGCCTGTAATTTAGCAATAACAAAAGCTAAATACATATTCATTTTGCCAGTTGACCATGCAACTTAACAGTGTTTCAAACAGGCAGCTGCCATGGTTTTACAATTTTTTTCTATCACTATTCCACATCATAACATCATGCAAAGCATGGGTAATTAAAGAATTAATACTCCAGTTCTGCAGACTGACAACTTGCTGGATACCTGTCTCTCAGAAGAGAACTATATATCCTGCAGGCCTCATGGTCAGAGAGGAAGATAAGTCACAGGAGGAAGGAAGTCATGGGATCTTGCTCTCTCACTCTCTGCCTGGCAGAGGGTGTGGATGGGCTTCCAAGCCATGTGCCTTTAGTTCAAAGTAGGTTTCCTTGGTTTCAGAAAACCCTCTCTCTCTCATTTTATTTTATTTGATTTATTAGCCTCAATTTCAATTAGATTGTATTATATTGTTTTATCTTGTATTTAGATATCATAGTTAGTAAAATAAGTTTTCTTCCTTAGATCATTGTCGCTGTTTTTTGGTGGTTTTTTGTTTGTTTGTTTGTTTGAGTCCAGTTCCCATCTCCCTACCCTTCCCTTTTTCCCTTTCCATTTTTGGGGTCAGGGGGCCCACAGGCCTGGTGCCCCCCTGTCAGATGCACAGATTGATCTAGATAACTCCGTGACAGCAGCAGAGATGCCAAATACCGTGCCATCTTTAAAATGCTGTACACACTGCAAAAGCTATACTCTGAATGCAGCAAGCTGGGTCTTT